GGAAAGAGAGCTCTGGCCCAGCTGACTTTGATTGAGGGCCAGGCTGCCACGGTCCTGGGTATTGAAAGTGGTTGGCCTTGCTGCCTCCCACTCGATGGACACCGATGAATGTAAAAGACACCACAGTGGCTCATTCAAGCCTGGGTTTTCTTCCCTCCCATCCGAGAGAGGTTTTCTCAGCTCCCCTGGAATCAAGGTCCCTGGTGTACTTGGGATGTCACCTGCCTCCTTGCACTTTCTGTGGCAGGTGAGTCGCTCCAGTCTCCATTGTGTGAGAAAGTGGGTGCTAAGAAGGAGCACACCAAGTGTCCCTTATTTCCATTATGTTCAGTCTGCTCTCGACCTTGCTTTGGAGATGAAGCTCTCAGAGTGAGGTGTGGGTATGAGAGGTGGAAGACGCCCATCCTGTAGAGAAGCTTGGTAAATAACAAAGGTGGTACCGGGACAACTGGCCATTCATATGAAAAAGGACAACTTTCTCATACTTCCCTAATTCTACTTCCCTACATTTCAGCAGATGAGCAGTGCCAAGCTTAGGGTTAGAAAGAGCCCCTTCCCTTCAATTAACTACATAACGGGAGTATAGTCTGGGGTGGAGAAATTGCAGGGAATCCTCCAGAGAACGAGAAAGGAATTGAGCTCAGAGGAGGGCTTCAGATGAGTCAGAAATGAGACCGCTAACCATTTCCCCAGTGACTGAAGACACAAGAGCCTGAGAGAAGGCTATCACAGAGAGGAGAGGGAGAGGTGTTGACTCACTGGACAGTAGGAAAAGCACATGCTCTTACATTATCGGGGACTGACGAGTGCTCCCTAAGAGGAGACAAACCCAGGTAGAAACAAGGGCAAGATCCACAGTCTGGTGACCTCAGAGCTGGCTTGAAGTTCCCCCAAGATGGCAAAATGTTCAGGAGGTTCTTGAGGGAAAAGGCAGGTGACAATGTAGAATGCACGTAGCAGCAGGAGTACCGTTCTGCTGGTGGAGATGCTCTTCTTCCACTATTAGACCCTGGAATACTTATCGCCAGTTCCTTTCCGGCCTACGCTTCCCGGCACCAGCTCTCCAGCGCGGCACTTTGGCCCTCGACTGCTCTCACCAGACCCAGCTCTCTTCTGCAGCACACCGACCTCGTGGCGCCCTAGGTTCAGGTACTAGTTCAGGGTGCCAGGCACCCCCACATCCTCTGCAGGCTGAGCTCTTCTCTGGAGGTCTCAGGAGGCAGTGGCTGAGGAGTGGTGGGGGCTACTCTACCAGCTGCCACCAAAAATACTTATAGAAACTTAATAAGGAAAGTCTGAGTCCAGGCCCTTCTCTCTCACAGATGAGGAAAACAGAGGCCCAGGGAGACTAAAAGAACTTGAGGGTTAGCTGGCAGGGCTGAACTGAGGTTAGGACTCAGCGTAACAACCAGGCTAAATGGTTTTCTACTGTGTCAAGATTTCCTGCAGCCAAATTGCAGAAAAGTATGTCTTGGAGGGAGAATGTATGCCCGGCTGAGTTAGGATTGTGATGTTTCATGTGGCTGACTTGAGGCAGGCACATAAACAGATAGGGCTCACTTAGGTGTCCAGCCGAGGTTACCAGAGGCTAAATGAGTGGAGGGGGGAAGGGAGCTGACAGCTTCTTTTAGCCAGCCCAAGTTTCTTTCTAAGTCTTCCCAGTCATCTGACCCAGCTCCACCCCCAGCACCAAAGGATCTTGCAGCTGCAGGAGCACAGTCGAGCACCAAGGTAAAACCCAGATGAGGAGCAGTGTGGAGGGCTGCTTACCTGCATGCTGGGGATTTCTCTCAAGCCCCCACACAAGTTGGACTCTCATAGTGCTGCCCGCCTCTGCACCCTTTCCTATCCTTCCCAGACAGCTCCACTCCCTGCTCACCACCCACTGGGAAGTCCTCTGTGGCAGGGGTGGGTAGATCTAAACGGAAGTTCCTCCTGGCTTGAAGTCCCCCAGCCAAGAAGCCTTGGTCTCAGCAGCCAGACCCCTGTGCTAACCTCATGACTCGAAAAGAGAAGGACTGGGTGATAAGAGTGCAGATGGTTCAGCTGCAGAGTGAGAACCCCTGCCTGGATGACTATTACTACCAGGTGAGCCCCATGTGCTCTTCGCAGCCTCTGACCTTGGGGTCAAATGGGCCTGGACTCCACAGGCCCTCTCACAGCCTCTCTTCAGCTCACAGGGGCCATACCCATTCAGGTGGGAAAGGCAACTGCTTACTATAGGATAGGGGCCACATTTCGAAAGTTGACATCCCAATCTCTATTTTCCTACACTTCAGCTAAATGGCTTATTTACAATTCCCCAAACACCATCTGAGGTTTTGTCTCTATCCTTTGCCAAGAATTCCCCCTATTCAGGCCAGAAATATGGACTTTTCCACCTTGTATGCTTTTGTCTTTAGAAATGCCTTGTTATAAACATTCATCTACTTTTTTAGACCTGAAACACGGAGATCTTATAATTAGTGGGATTCAATACATTGAATGGAACAAATGCTGGCAGACATTTTGAGTCTTCCTCCTGCTTCCTAATCTCCCTTTTATTCATGGGGCAAACCTTTGGCTACGAGTTTTGGGGTTGACTAAACTGTGTTTCACTTACTTTTCAGCCTCCATGAGCTTCAGACCAAAGTTCCCACCTTTATCTCCTTCCTGTTCCTTCCTTTCTTCCCACACCACTTGAAAAACTTTTTCCTGTCAATATCACTGAAAGTGAAATAGTTTTATATTCTTGCCTTTTTGGCACTGCTCCTAAATGAAGGAGCTTTATTGAACGCCTTGTTTGGCTTGCAGTCAATGGCTTTATTTCAGCTTGGGATTTTATAGGTTTCTTTAAGAAAATATTAGAGGTGCTGAACAAATCTTCAGAAATACAAAGCTGGCCTAGAGGCCAATCGACAAATAGTACTACCTCTGTACTTCAAGCTGCTGATGGTCTTCATGCCATCAGATAACTCTGATTTTGGAAAGTACAGGCAGAATTACAGAATCAAAATGGAGAGGGGGAGGATATGTGGTATACAGTGTATAACTTGGGAACATGGAATGCAAGAAGGTTGCAGATGCTGGGACAGGTTTTTTTCCAGGCGCTCTCCTTTGCTGTCTGCCTTTCCATCGGATCTGAGAGTGGTATAAATTCTTAGCATGAGAACCCCAGGATAGATGGCATGAGGCCAGGGTGCTTAAGATACTTTATAATGACTGCCAAAAAGGTCTAAGGTGCCAAGATCATTTCTGAAATGGATGCTATAGAAAAGGGTATGTTAAGAGGTTGTACTTGAGAATCTTAATTTTAAGTTCAGAAGATGAGTATACATTTTTCCATTCCATGAACTCACAGAAATATTATCAAAAACTGGAGAAGCAGGCAGATGAAGAGCTACTTGGGCAAAGGAGCAAGATTGAATCTCTCAAGCTGGAAACACCTTTCATTCAGAAGGCAGAGGCTTATGAATCGGGTAAGACCAGGCTGACCTGGGTTGGGCTGGCCATCTGGGTGGACAGAGGATGGAAAGGGGAGGGAAATATGACTGTCCTGACTCCTTTCATGCAGTGGTTCGAATAGAGGGTTCCCTGGGCCAGGTAGCTGTGTCGACGTGTTTTTGCCCTCGCCGAGCTATTGATGCCGTACTCCATGGAACTCAAGAACCGGTAGGAGAGAGATCTTCCCAGAACCTTTCTCTCTCTGTTTTAGAGAAAGGTCTGGAGCACTCTCATGCTTCAGTTCTGATTGTGACCTAAGAGTAAGGAAGAAGCACGATCAGATTTTGTGTTAGTCTTTCCAGCTGAATTTCCAGCTCCTCTGAAGCCTGGGCTGCTGCTGTGGAGGTGTGGCTGATGGCTTGGGACTCTTTCTCCTAGGAGTCAGGAGCTGCAAGCAGTCAGAGGCTTCGGGTGTTGTATTGGATTGAGAAGGTAAGGTCAGCTCCTTAGGGATGAGTTCCTAATTTACCCTTGAAAATGGGATATTGCTCAAATTGACCTCTTCTTCCTCTTTTCTCACCCTCAAATTCTCAGATGTTCCTTCAGTTACTAGAGATAGAGGAGGGCCAGAAGGATGAGCCTCCACAGCCCTGCTACTCTGAGCAGCAGAGAAACCAGGTTGAGAAGCTCTTCCAGGCCTTAAAGACCCAGGAGCAGAATAATCTGGAGTGAGCATGGGAGGGTCACACTTTAGCCCAGTAATGGATCAGCAAAGACGATAGCTTTGCTTTAGCCCCTCCTTCCCAGCATGTAGCCCTCTCCTCTTTGCAGACCCCTGAAAACCCTCTCCTATCACACCTGTAGGGAGGCAGCAGAAGGCTTCCTGCAGGTGCTCTCCGTGAGGAAAGGGAAAGCCCTAGTGGCCCGGCTGCTCCCCTTCCTGCCCCAGGATCTGGCTGTTAGCCTTCTTCTGGCTATCACCCACCACCTGCCCTTCCTGGTCAAGAGAGACATGGCTGATCAGGTACTGTGGCATTAAGTGGTGAAGAGGATGGTTTCATGGATGGGTTAGGCATCTTTCCTCCTTTGGTCCCCACCCCTAGAGATGCCAGATAAGGTGATGGCAGTGAAGGGTACTGACTCTGCCATCCTCAGGTGAGGGAGTTACGGAATAAACAAATACAAGAACAGCTGATCATCTTTGGGTGCAATGAACAAAAAACACACAGGTCTTGGTTGCACAGGTGTGGGTGTGCTGTGGAGGGTGAGAAAATAAGGACTCCCTGATAAGTGTCGAGCCCCGTATCTACTTTTCTTAGGGAAGGCATCCTAGAACAAGTAGGTATATAAGGACCAATGTTATGGTTGGAGAGACAGGAGTGGTGATAGGTCTGGTAAATAACCTGACCAGGTAGGTGCCAAAGGCATGCCAGCAAGAAAGGGACTGGAGGCAAGGCAGGAAAGAGGGAAAGTCTGAGAGGTGCTCTTGGACCTTCTTACAGGCCCTACAAATGTTATTCAAACCTCTGGGCAAATATATCAGTCACTTGACCTTCCATGAACTCCTCCAAGGACTTCAGGGACTAATGCTGCTTCCACCTGGCTCGTCAGAGCGGCCAGTCACCGCAGTGCTTCAGAATCAGGTAACGTCTGGGAGGCTTTTAACATAGATGGCCTCCAGGTGCTATCACTGGCAAGGAATAAATGAGGGAATGTTTTTACCTCTTTGTGATCTTCTCATCTGTCCAGCTTATCCTCTGCAGTGCTTCTCAACTTCTAGTGAGCATTAGGATCACCTGCAGAGCTTACTGAACACCAGGTCCTTGGGCTCACCCCCAGAGAGTGTATCCTTGAATAGACCAAGGGCGGAGCTCAAACAGCTGCTTTCCTATTTCCTAATAAGCTGCCTGATGATGGTGCTGGTATAGATCTCTAGAGTAGAGGTCACTAAACTTTTCTGATTTTATATGCCTTTTGATAAAAATTCAGAACCATATCACCCACATGTGTTGTCATACATGTAGGTAATAAATTAGGTAATAGTAAATACAAGATAGAAAGTTTTGAAAGATGAAACTCTAGATGTGAAAGTTCTGTTATTTTCTAACATGTCAGTGGATTATCTTATGAACCTTTCTTTGAAAATATTTGCCTAAAGCAGTGCTTCTTAAAGTGGGGTGCCACAGACTACCTGCATCAGATTCCTGGGTCCACTCCTGATGTACAAATTGATTTCTGGGGGCAGAACCCATGAGAGTGCATTTAATCAGCTCCCCAGAAGAATCTTTTGGAAAGTTCAGAGCCGTGATCCACTTGGAAAGGTCTGAGAGTTCTTTGCCCAGCCAGTAAAAACCTGAGTTTTATGGGTGTTGGACTCTACTTGTACATGTGAACGTATCCTTTTAGTTGGGAAGACAGCCAGAGAAGCATTGAAAGTCTAGCATGAACTCATTTTTGCCTGGATACTTTATCACTTGCAGTTTGGAATATCTTTGCTCTATGCCCTGCTGAGTCATGGGGAGCAGCTGGTATCCCTGGATTCTTCTCTACAGGAATCCAACAGTGACCATACAGCTTGGTAAGATCATAAAGGCCTGTAAATACTATTTCAGTACCCCCTGAGATGTGTAGGCTAAGCCAAATGAGATATTTCCTGAGTTGTGTATTCAAGCATCAGGGAGGAGGTTGGTCAAAGGGAAAACTAGCAGAGTTGTAGCTGTTCTGTTCTGCCTTTTTATCCTCTCTACGGTCCTGTAGAGCATTTGTTCTCTGTGGGAGGCAGGGCATATTAATTAAGGGGACAAGCTTTAGAGTCAAACTAGATTTGAATTCTACCTATCACTTATTAGCACTATTAGGCATATTACTTCTTAGCCTCTTTCCTCATTTATAAACTAGAGATCTAAGGATGATGGCACTAATCACTTAGAGTTCTGAAGATTAAAATGTGTAAAGCACTAAGTATTGCCCTGGCATATATCAAATGTGCAAATGTTCTCTTAATTACTACAAGCATAGACGGTGACAATAGTGGTAAGGATAATAAAGATCTTGGCCTTGAGTCTGTTTCCTGCATAAATACAAATACTGATGTATTCCTTCCTCTCTGCCCTCCAGGACAGACATAGTGATTCTGATTGCCTGGGAGATAGCCCAGATTCCTACAGCCTCTCTGGCAGAACCCCTGGCCTTTCCCAGCAACCTTCTTCCCCTATTCTGTCGCCATGTGGACAAACAATTGGTACAGCAACTGGAGGCTACAATGCAGTAAGTGATGGCAGAAACAAGGACATAGTCTCTTGCTCAAGCTTGATCTAGGTTATATCACTTACTTCTCTACTTCTTTTAAACCAGCTTGCTTTTAGAAGTAGCTCTAGACACTCTGGCATCTGCCTCAAGTTCGGACTCTGTGGCTTGTTTCTTCAGCCAAAACTTTAAATTTATTCCCAGGTGCTTTGCTCTTATCATGCTAAGCTATTTGAGGACAAAATTAATTTGAGAAGTTGAATTGTTCATTCAAGATATATTTGACCAATCTTGGAAGCTAAGCAGGGTCCGGCCTGGTTAGTATTTGGATGGGAGACCACCTAGGAATACCGGGTGCTATGGGCTTGGGAAAAAAAAGAAAAAAAATTTGAGGGACAACTATCAAAAAATATAAGCATGAACAACATGGAGACCTTCTCTGCTCTCAGATTTACCATCTGCTGGAAAGAATCAGATATTAACCAAATCACACCAATACTTTAGAAAATGGAATTGTTTGCAGTTAACACTTGTTCTCTTTATAGGCTTGCCTGGATCTACTGATTCCGTTATTTTGGAATATATACATGTGGAAAAAGTTTAATCATCAGATAGTAGCTGTATGGGTTATGCCTACAGGGATCCAAGACTCTGAAGACATTTCTTATGCCTTGATACATGGGAGGATCCTGTCCAAAACATTTTCTTATGCTTTCTTCAAAAACCTGAATGATATGCCTAAAAAGGTATGGCATAGTAAGGTATAATTAAAGAGATGTGATAACGTGTTGAAACTTATAAGTTAGGAGATACAATAATGAAAGCCATTTTTTGAGGCGTGAATGCTGTAAGAATGTCCTTAATATAAGGGACAAGGTCTTGTTATGTGTAACAAAAGTGTGATCTTGGAAATTGTATCGATGTTGCTATTTTTATAAAGAGAAAGTAGCCCTAGCTGATCTAAGAGGGTTGGCTATAAACATCTCCCTTGGGATATGAAATGTTTGGTTTAAGTTGACAAACAAGGTTATGCATTCATCAGCAAACACTAGAGTGCCTTTTGTTTGGTTTAAGTTGACAAACAAGGTTATGCATTCATCAGCAAACACTAGAGTGCCTTTTGTGCCATTTTAGGTGGTAGAGTAACAATAGTGAGCAAGGAAAAGTCCCTGTTCTTCTGAAGCGTACATTCTGTTTGTACAAGGACTGACATACAAAACAGCAAGTAGCGATAAATACCACGTTAAAAATGAAACTGGATGATGAGTGACTGGAGTGGAATGCTCCAGGACAGCCTGTCAACAGAGGTTACATTTAAGCTGAAATGATAAGTATTTCATGTAGAGGCACTAGTGAGCACAAAGCCCCCAGGGTGAGAATGAATTTGGTGTTTCAGAAAAAGTGTGGCTGAAGCATACACATAAGTGGGTAGGGGGATGAGGTTGGAGAGAGGTAGGCAGAGTATAGATCTATAAGTCATGATTTTTAAAACTCTGCATTTTTAAGTGACGGGAAGTCAGAATTTTAAACAGGAAAGTAATGTGACATCATTTTTTTTTAAGAACACTGAATTGTTAGGGCAACAAGAGAAAACAAAGAAATGTTCAGAGGTTTTTTTTTTTTAATAGCTCAAGCAAGAATTGAAGAGCAGTGGTGACAGAAAGCGGAGAGGAGACTTGCACTAAGTCTTGGAAGAGTTGACAGATGTTGCTGATGGGCTGGATACGGGTGGTGGTTAAGAATCAAGAATGACTCCCAAGTAGAGTGAATAGTGAGTGTCTCGTAGTGAAGAGGGAAAAATGAGAAAAATCGGTTTGTGGGGGGGTTAAAAATCAAATTTAGACACTTTAAATTTGAGTCTTGTTAGAAATACAAGTGGATATATCAAGTAGGTAATTAAAGAGCAGTCTGGAGTTGAAGTAAATGGTCAGGGATAAAGACAAGCGGGAGTTTATCAGCAGATGTTAAAAGGTAGAGAGGAAGAGATTGATTAGGAAGAAATGTCAACTAAGGAGTTATCA